ATTGAACAATGTGCATTGTTATTATTAGCAATATATAACAGCTAGTTTGGTCCTCGGATTTGACTGGCTGTGCAGTGATCATTGTTTGTATCATTAAACTGTCAGTTTGTGCTTTAGTATGCGATAAGTAAATGTCCTTCTGAGTGAGTCATTTGAATCATTCACTCAACCGTTTTGTTCAAACACACTGATTAATTCAGGGACTAAACAACAAGGTTGTTATTGTTAACTAAATGTAAAACTATTAAAAATTGTTTTTGGTAAGTGAGATAAAACTGAAGTAAAATATAAATATCAGATGAAAAACTTTTAAGATTAGCTTAAACTTAAAAACTGCTTTCTAATGAAAATTTGAAATGTTTCCTGGACAACTAAATGAAAAAAGCTGAAATACTAAAATTACTAAAACTAAAACTGAAATAAAATAAAGTTTAATAAATAAAAAATAAAACAAACACATAACAAAATTACTAAAACTAAAGTTAAAATGACAACTAAAAATATAAAAAGAAGTTAATCCCAGATATTAATAAATACTAAAATATAAATGACACTAAAATAAGACGAATAAGTCTATATTTATGATTCATTGAATCATTCCCTGAATTCATTAATTCAAAGATACTGATTCATTAGAGAACAAAACACTGCTATAGTGTTAAAAAACAATCACTAGCATCTGTCTGCAAATGTCTGTAAATGTATTAACTTCTGGTCTATTTAAGCAATTTATTAAAGCAATATACCAGTCTGTTGAATTTAATAGACTTTAACCATTCTATTTATTAGTAAATAATTGTTTCTAGTAAGACCCTTAGAAATAGAAACTTTTGAACAACATTTACAGCATAACAGTTCAGTCAGGGGTGAGGGGCATGACAGGGAAAGGCCATGAGTTGAATATTAGATCCTGTTTGGACTTTGTCAGCTCTTGACATTAATGAGATGCTTCAAGCTCCAGTGTCTCTTTCAGGTCCTTGGTGAGCTTCCAGAGCACTGTGCCTTACGCTGGTATACGGTGTGCCCATCTACTGGTTGGCTGGGCTCAACAACGCTCCCGAACGCTTCCTGCTCAACTTCCTGTTGGTGTGGCTGATGGTGTATTGTAGTCGCTGCATGGCCCTATTTGTGGCGGCAGTCCTGCCAACATTGCAGACTTCGTCTTTCATGGGCAACGCACTCTTCACGGTCTTCTACCTGACTGCTGGCTTTGTCATTAGTCTGGAAAACATGTGGCTGGGTAAAAACATCATTGAGCATTTAATTTCAAATGAATACTAGATTCAAATCTGCAAGTAGGCCTATTCCTTAAATTAACACTGATTTGGTTTTCTTACATATCTTTCATGCGTTGGGGTTTTGAGGGAATGCTGCAGGTTCAGTTTCGTGGGACCAGAATCCCAATCACTATTGGAAACCTCACTGTAGAATTCGACGGGATTAAGGTGAGGAACGCTGACATGTAAAATGCACACTTATATGGTTTCTATTCATGGACACCATTAAATTAAATGTTAATGTTTTCAGGTTGTGGAGATGATGAAAATGAACCAGTATCCACTGTATTCCTGCTACCTGGTGCTTATTACTGTTGCTTTTGTTTTCATCCTGCTCTATTATCTGTCACTCAAATTCATTAAACAGAAGTCCAGTCAGGATTGGTGAGGAGGACAAATCAGCATAAAGTCTGGTCCACACTGCAGCTTGTTCTTGCCAAGAAACCAACATATAAAATGCCCATCCACAGTACAGACCTTGGTTTATAAGCTGTAGTTGTCAAGTCCAAATATGGCTCTTTCCACAACAAATATATTATGTCAAACATGTTGATAACATTGTACTACTACTAACTGCCGCTGGATGGCAGTAATGTACTATGTTTCTGCACTCTTTTAAGTTTACTTAATTACTTGTTTTTTTTGGGTTCTGGTAAACCACCAGAGCTCATGTTTCAACAAATTTACTGCAGCATGTCACAATGTAGATTTCATATTAACTTTTATTTTATTTTGTAAATCAGAATCGTTTTGCATGTATAATATTATTATAGAACAGTGTACTACTACAGGAACTTTGAAAGCTTTTTTTAAAGATTTAGAAACTCAAATGCTTGTTTTATTTATTTATATATATATAATATCAACACTGCATTGATACAACATTCTGATCAACATGCTAGGATGTATTTGTTTGATTCCACATGTCTATTGTCATATTATTAATGCAGCATGACGTTGAACACATTTGAGTCTTTGAGAGAGAAAAACTACAACCATAAGACAAATAGAAAAGAAAAACTACTGATCTGATGTCTCAAACATTACTTGTATTAAGCAATTAAATAAATAACCCAGGGTCAATGTCACAGGAATAAATTTATACTGGAAATATTCCAGTCTCACATGACAGATGCCTCTTTAAAAAAGATATCTGACATTTGGTGTCAACTGTTTCTTGAAAAATGAGAGCAAGATAACTTTTTTTTAAAAAACTTTTTCATGTTTCAGTCACATAAATATTTATTTATGTAAGTCCATGTCTGCCATGTAAGAAAAAATGCTTTGGTAAATCATAATTAAGAAATAATAATTATGACATAAGTTGAAAGAATGACATACTAAGTAATAATAATGATATAAGATGAAGTCTAAAAAACAATAATGACATACTAAGTCATAATTGTGACATTTAATATCAAAATTATGAGAATGATGATTATGACAAGTCGAAATCATGAGATAAAATGTCAAAATTATGAGATAAGTAAAAAAAAAAAGACAAAATAATATAGACTTTTGTCAAGATTTTGATTAATCTCATAATTAACATTTTATCTCAGAATGATCTCATACTGTTTTGCAAATTTAGACTTTTTTATTTTATTATGACTTATCCACAATCCAATAATTTTAGTTTACCACACTATTATTCTAGTTATTTACCTATAATGGCTAATTAATCAGAGGGCTCGCACATTCACATGAAAAAGCTTCATTTCATGCTGAAAGAGAGGATGAATTGTGGATTAAATCTTTACAAATGTATGTGAATGTTAGATTTGTGCCAACTTGAGATCTATAAAAATGTTGTGTGACTTGGTATGGATCAAATCTAGTGATCAACGATTTTTTTTCTTGTTATCCATGTTCATTTGTTTTTGTTTTCATCGCCATTACTTTGCCTCTCTGATGGTCATAAATATGGTGGTTGAGTGGTCTTAGAATATCTGACAGGGAAAAGTATAAATAACAATGCTTGTTCAAATGAAGGACATGCTTGTATAAGACTAGTATAAGACTCTGCAAAGACAAAAATGGCAGATCCATTTGAAGAAGGATTACTCCAAACTGTTTTGATATCATTTATATATAATTTTAAAATGTAATGATGTTTGTGAGCTTGCTAAGAGCTCTTGAAAAAGAATGTCATCCCTCTAAAGCATCTCATCGGGCTTTTACTCTGCCATCTGCATTTGGCTTGCACAAATCCTCTGGTCTTCTCTACCTCTCAGAGTGACTCTCCTGAGCTTCCTGACGGAGGAGAAAACAGTCGTCTACCTCCCTTAGAGACCATCTGCAGGAGAATGAGCTGCACTGCAATACTATACACATAAAAAACACTAAAACATGCAGCAATGTTACATTTCTTAATAGAATAATAAATGTTGCTGTTGTTAATAAATGTTCAAATCAATGTTGCTCTTTTGATCTTTCTATTCTTTAAAGCATCCTGGGGGGAAAAAGTATTAATAATAATAAATGTTTCTCGAGCACCAAATCAGCATTTTGAAAGCATTTCTGAAGGATCATTCAAATCAGTTATTTTAAATTGTAATATCAATTAAATTGTAGATGAAACAATTAAATTGTAGATCAAATAAATGCAGCCCTGGTGAACATCTGAGACATCTTTAAAAAAAACAAAACATACTGAACCGAAACGTTTGAACGGCAGTGTATAAGTATTTAAATAAAGGTAAATGCATCTGTGAGTGTACCTGCAAATTAAAAATGTTGGACTGAATAGAGTGCTTGACAGATTTTACTTAGTGGCTAATGTTTAATATCTAAATGTTCGATATCTAATGTTTAATATCTAAATCAAAACTGGAGAACCTGATCCAATATATTACTGGTATTCAATGACTTGTTAATGGTTTGCAATGACAATAAGGAGTCGTCAGAAGTCAAACACACACTAGTAAAATTAGGGTGACCATACGTGCCATTTTCCCAGGACGTGTCCTGGCCAGGATTTGTTTTGGCAATATTTTCCTGTTTTCATGCTTGCTGAAGGTAATGATCGAAAAGTAGTTTGACCAATAACATGCAAGCATTGTACATAATGGACCAATCATGGCGTGTGAGAAGGTGGGATCTACGGTCAAAGCGATGCAATTATGCGTACATATTAGGCAGCACGGCTCAGACCGATCAGTGTTTGACATCAAAGTACCTCGAGAGCGTTTCGAAAGCATAACCGTCTGTATGGTACTTTGATGTCATACACCGATCGGTCTGCACACGCAAACAAAGCCAAAACCTAGATATTTTAGGCAATATAGAGAATATAGAGAACGTCCTGGGAAAATGGCACGTATGGTCACCCTAGTAAAATGCAAGAAAAAGAAAACCAGAAAAGAAAAGCTGGTGCTCCAACGATCACTCCGAGATCTCTTTAGATTTCAGCCGACTACCACTGGATGGCAGCAATGTTCTGCTCATTTCCTTACACACTTTTGTTCAATTTGGCAAGAGATTAGAGCTCCGCTTTGGTAAATATCCATAAACCGCTTCTCTTTGTTGTAGTCTAAATGTTTATTTACTTAAATATGTAGAAGATTTTACTGCTAAAAGTATGTGCCAAAATCTTTTGAAAGGTTTTATAAGTCACACAAAAAAAAGCATTTGTGTTTTAAAAGCTAGATAATGCACTTAAATGTATGTTTTGAAGAAAAACCAGCATGCATGACAGCTTCCATGATTTTTCCAACGAGATGTTTATTATACAGTATACATTACTACATAACTCAGCATAAATCGACTATATGGGCATATCACAAATCATCCATGTGTAATATAATGCATCTTATATGAACATATTTCCATTTTTAGAAGTCAAAACTTGCATTTGGAGGAAACATCTCTGATTGTGACACTCACTTCAGGAACAAAACAAAAAAAGATGAAAGAAACTCATGAAAGAGCCTCTAAAGTTTTGGGTTTACATTTATTCGCATAAATATCTATGTACACATTAACCATATCATGACATCATTATGAAGGGCAAAAAAACAAACAATCACAGTATAACACACAAGCTGTGCACATCTGTTGAATGTAAAAAAAACGATAAAAAAAACAATGAATGACTGACGGAAGTTGTTTTTAGCTGTCGGCCGGCTCCATGGACTCAGAGCGCTGCTTCTTCAGTTTGTCTGCGTAGAAACTAAATGACTCCTGCGGGACAACAAAGAACGCATTTTTATATATTTTTAGTCAGCAAAAGGCTAAACTAGACCAAATGCTCCAATATAATTGCACCTCGAGTTTGTGTTGTGTTGTTTTTCTGTCAGAATCAGTGGGTGCTGTGTGTAGTTGTGTGATTCCTGCCCTCTGGGGCAAACTAATAACCACACGGTCCAAACAAATCCTACGCTCTCGTTTCATCTTACAAACCATATTAATTCACAAATAACATATTTACTCGTTCACCCTCCCGTAATTAAGCATAGGCGCCTCTATTTTTGGAAGGTGAGTGCTTTTAGAAGATTACCATTCCTCCAACAATGTATATTCCCTTATTAATGGGGTAATTAAAGTCGATAAATAACAGCTGCTGTGTACAAGAAATGAGGCCAGATGTGAGCGGCACCTCAAATCTCTCCTTATCGCCTCTCTCCGGAGACTCTTTGTACTGTGGTATTAGCAGCGGCCGTGGGACCAGGAGGAATAAGCGGAGTTGAATGGAGCGGGATGGAGTGCTACCTGAGATTGCTTTGTGAGAACTTAAAAGGTGCACTGAGAGCTTAGCGGTGCATGAGGGGGAAGGGTTTGTAGATGGCTGGCAGTCTCCTCTAACGCTGGTGAAAAACACCGGAGCGGGGTTCTGACAGATTGTCAATAATACAAGAGAGCGTGAGGTGGACTCTTTTATGGTACTGTAAAAGTAGGGGTATTTCAGGTGAGCAATTTGACATGAAACTGGACTCTAATCAGCTAGTGCTTGACCAACTTCAAAAATGGTTATTAAATAAAGAAGCCCGACATCCAATCACTGTTCAAAAATCACAACTGCCCACACAATGTGTACACAGCACTTGTGGTTCATTAAGACGCTCAATGTTTTGAAGTGGGCAATTTGTTGCATAATACGTCAAGTAAACACATTTACATTGCCGTTCAAAAGTATGAGGTCAGTACAATATATAATATATTCACAATATAAACAATATATAAATTATTCACTATATTTGTGATGATTTTGCTGGAGACAAAATCATGAATATCGCAAAAATTTGAATGCTCTTACAATTTGGCCATTAAGTTTCCTTCTACACTTTCCAGCTGTTTTTTGCCTCACGACTCCAGAGTATGAAAGCATCAAGACAGATGTTCACTGAGTCAGTTCATACTGTCCATTGAATAGAATCAATTCAAAACTCGAAATGAACAATTTGCCTGCATAATCAATCAAAAACATTCATCAAAGTCTCTGTGAGGCAATTCGAAGCAAAAATATGTAGGTAAATACTGTACTTTATTACATTGTATAAATATTAATTATTACTAAATATGCTCATTTAATGAAAAATTCTTAAATTTTTAACGATAGCATTTTTAAAATTATTTTTGACTAATTTTAACTACACTTTGTAGTTCTCAGAATAAGCATTTCAATCTACTACGCAACATCTACTTTGGTTTAAATGATTCCTCTTATTTAAGAAAAAAAAGCACAAATATTCAATATGTATTAAATGTTAATGAATGTTGATGATTACCGGAGGCTCTTCAAAGGGAACAGGTTCTCCGGCTTCCTTGTATAGTAGCGCCAGTCTCTTGAGAGTCAACTCATCAGCCTTCACCCCCTCAGCTTGCATGCGCTCATACAGAGCCTTCGCTGAACTGAAGTCCTTGTCCAAACCTGTTGAGAGTGAGGGAGAAAAACATACAGCATTTCATTCTGCACATATCAGGCTTCATGAAATAATAATGCTGTAGAGGTCTCTAAGTACTGAAACGTGTTCAAGTTCTCACGGTACGCTAGCTAAAGTAGCCCCTCATTAGAAAACACGTGTTTGTATTAGCAAACGTGCCTCTTGTGAGTCAGTCAATGCTTTATGCTTGTTGCATTTTTAATTGGCAGACTATTAACTGACTAGTTTTGCTATGTGCCTAAACAGTGGGTGACTCGAACAGGCCAGCCAGATGAATGTCTCTTAGGATGATGTCTATACAAGAACATATGTGACCCTGGACCACAAAACCAGTCTTAAGTCGCTGGGGTATATTTGTAGCAATAGCCAAAAATACATTGTATGGGTCAAAATGATTGATTTTTCTTTTATGCCAAAAATCATTAGGATATTAAGTAAAGATCATGTTCCATGAAGATATTTTGTAAATTTCCTACCATAAATATATCAAAACTTAATTTTTGATTAGTAATATACATTGCTAAGAACTTCATTTGGACAAACTTAAAGGCGATTTTCTCAATATTTTGATTTTTTTGCACCCTCAGATTCCAGATTTTCAAATAGTTGCATCTCGGACAAATATAGTCCTATCCTAATAATCCATACATCAATGGAAAGCTTATTTATTCAGCTTTCAGATGATGTATAAATCTCAATTTCGAAAAATTTACCCTTATGACTGGTTTTGTGGTCCACGGTCACATATAAACATACATATACACACACACACTACTGTTCAAAGGTTTGGGGTCGGTAAGATTTTTAATGTTTTTGAAAGACTCTTGATCAACAATACAGTCAAACAGTAATATTGCGAAATATTATTACACTTTCAAATAACTGTTTTCTATTTTTATATATTTTAAAAAGTAATTTATTCCTGTGATGGCAAACCTGAATTTTCAGTAGCCATTACTGCAGTCTTCAGTGTCACATGACCCTTCAGAAATCATTCTAATATGCTGATTTGCTGCTTAAGAAATATTTCTTAGTATCAATGTTGACAACAGCTGTGCTGCTTAATATTATTGTGAAAACCATTTTTTAAGGATTCCTTGACGAACTCAAAGTTCAAAAGAACAGCGTTTATTTGAAATGGAAATCTTCTGAAATATTAAAAATGTCACTTTTGATCAATTCATTACAAAAAAAAAAAATACTAAATAATAATAACAAAAAAAAAGAATAAAAAATCTCACTGAGCCCAAACTTTTAAACTTTTAACCCCAATTAGGGTTGATGCAAAGAGTGGTCTTACCACAGCATTTCACCAAATGTGAATAGATATTCTCCTTCTCTGTGAAGTCAGGAATCAGCTCAGACAGAGCCTTGATTTTAGCAGCCTGTACAGGAAGTAAAATACAGCATCTTTATTCAAATACTGCAGGAGTATACTGTGCTTCATCTTGTGAATATTATGTAAATATCGAAGTATGTGCATACATCTAATGAAAGTTCAGAGCATGAAGACTAGAACAAACTGGGTTTTGTTTACCTGCCCCGGCTGCTGAGCCGCTCGTAACATGTATGTGAACATTGCATCCTTCTGCTCGTTGACAGCCGCACAGCGCTAAAGCAATCAAAGAAGCACAAGTGACCTTAAAACTCTCAACACAAACATTTAATGCATATAACGTGTGTGTGTGTGTGTGTGTGTCTGCCCTTGAGCAAAACATAACCCCTTGCTATAAAAACAATTACTTGTATTTGTACTGGATCCACACAGCAGGCAGTTAAAAGGCAAAGGGGAGCATATGGAGGTGTGTGTAACTGCATGATGGAAGCGTGTGTTTTTTAATGTATCCATCTTCCATTACACCCTTTAGCACTCAGTGCAGCGCTCTATAGTTAAGGGTTAATTATACAGGTAATAAGGGAGTCAGGCAAATAACCACTTATTTCTTTATGAAAATTAAAATGTACAGTGTCCGCCCAATTTAAAGTACAATTATCTACACTTAGCCGTATAAAGGCTTTGAATTGCATCAGCGTGCTCCTGAGCTTTCAAGCGCCAGTGTGCAATTTTCACACTCTTTAATCAGGACAATATAACACAAGTTAAATTGCGGCACAGTGAATTCTGGAAGGGTAAACTGTGCCGTACAGAAACTGAAGGTCTTGAGAAGATTCAACAACCTCGAGCAGCTTCGTCAAAAAGAAGATATTAGCAGGTATGAAGAAATCAGGCTGTTTATGAATATTCTGGGCATCTTTAAAGCAAGCATGGACTAAACTTTCTTCTTGCAATACAAGTTACATCAACAGCATTTGTGGCATAATAGCAATTTTTTAAAATCATGTTCACTAAGACGCGTAGAATGCAAGTGAACAGGATCATGGACTTTAAAAGCTTCAAAACAGTATTGTAAAGCACTTCCATGTGCTTCATGTGTAATTTGAGGGGTAAAGTTTTCAAAAATGTCCAGTCCTTCCATTTTTTTTTTCTAATTTCTACTGTTACTCAACGAGGATTTTTAACACATTTTATAAAGATTGCACTCAAAAAGCATAATTTCTAGTCAATAAATACTGCGGAGTACAACTAAAACATTTTAGTGTTTATTTTCATGATCACGTTCTGTTCGAGGTGGATATCTCTCCGGTTTCATTACAATTATCTTCATTCGTGCTTCAAAGATGAATGAGTCTTGTAGTTAGTGTGTAGTTTCATGTTTTAACCTTTAAACATTCTCGTTTATTTCCATTGCAGGTGCCTTACTCTAACAACAATTTTTTCTGTTGTCAAAAAAAAACAAAAAAACATTAAAAAACATTATGCCACAATTTCTGCTGATACAGTACGGCTTAATTTGTAATGGAACCTGAAAAAAAAAAATGTCTGAGCTGTTGCGAAGAAGTCCAAATGTCTTCTGAAGGAAAGCATCATTCCGTCTCGTGTGTGTTAGTATGTCTGTCTTTTGAAACTGCTGGACTGCCCTGTGCTTCCTCTGGGTTCAGCGGCAATGAGGTCACATTACAAGCCAGTCGTGAAAGCTGTGTGTTTCTCTTGCGTCTGCTGAATTAAAAGCTGAGGGGTCTGGGAGGCTTTTAACAAAGTGCTATATTAAATGAAAAGAGGCTGAGGTGGGCAGAGTGCCTTTACTACAATCAGAGCAATTAAAACTACAGCCCAGCAGCTTCACTCTTGAGAGTTCCTCTCTGACACGATTCACGACACCTACAACACGGCGAACAAGACCTAAACGAATATGCTGATCTAAGACTTTCTGTAAAATCGTCTTTTGATATTTAGCATTCCATCTCGGGGATGCTGTGAAGCAAAGCTTCCTGTTCTTTCGACATCTCAAAGGATTTTACTCACTCCTGGGTTTAGTGGTACCTTAATGTAGCCATTTTGTTCCTCAACTCGCTAAAGTGCTTTTTGAAAGAGGGAGAGGAAAGATCTTACTTGAAGAAGAGTATCTAAGCGCGCAAAAACGACTGAATGATTAAAATATGAGACAGGGAGAGGTCAGAAAGAGCAGCGATCACTTGAGATGGAATTGTAGTTAGTGACGGGGTCAGCTAGTTCCAATAGCAACTCGAATTAGATTCAGCAATTTAGCAAGGTCACTGAGTCCTCATGCATATCTTGGTTTGTGAGAGACAGTACCTGCAGGAGGAACTTGGCCTCTTCTGTCCTGCCCGTGTCCAAGTAAATCAGGAAGAGGTCTGTAGCGGCTCTGTAGGAGGCAAAGTGATTGCAGAGCCTTTCCACCATGGCACTCACTGGACGTAGAGAGAGATGTCAATCAATCACATGCTTCGACAGTGATTACTATGTTACAACACATCAGTGTGAGAAACTCACAAAGAAGTGCTAGAAGTCCATTCAGAAGTACTCAAAGAACACAACTGTTTATCAGTGGCTCTCAAGCTTTTTGACTTCAAGAACCCTTTGCTCGCAACTTCTTGACTTTAACAAACTAGGAGTGTTAACATTAAAATAACCAACTGTATTTTAAATAATAATAACTTAAACTTTATTAAACGCAACGTTTCGTTTAATAAAGTTTAAGAATTAGCAAGTATTGATAGTGTGCGGGTTCGTTACTTATTTTTGATTCAACTTTTTGTTTGATTTTGTTCCCATGCACCTATCCTCGTTTCAGGTGTGCTGAGTTTACGTTGATTAAATAATAATAACTAAAATAATAATAACAAAAATAAACTAACTCTATGTTCTTCATAAACAATTGCTGCTGAAGGGACAGATTAAAATAAGAAATATTATGTCAGCTTATTTAAACATGATTTTTTGAAACTACTTATTTTAGGTAATTTCTTAAATATTTTATCATCTTGCTGCCCCTTTCACTGTTGGAAAAAAACTGCAAAAATTGTACAACTGGTGCAAAGGGGGGCATCTTTGTACCTACCCCTAAAAAGTTGCATATTAGTATCTTAAAGCAGTAATAAGCTACTACTATGAACGTTGTAGGGGTAAATAAGGTACAAAGATGTCCCTTTGAGAGTACTGCCCCCCAGTGTTGTTGTGCCCCTAAAAGCACAATATCTGCAGATTTTGGAGGTTGGAGGTGTTGGAAGTTTGCCGAGCATCCCTGGTTGAGAACCACTGATTTTGATGAAGAGGTGGTGTGTGGGTCTTACATTTATCTAGTGCAGCATCATTGTTGGCATCTAGAACTTTGCGGAAAACAAAAGAAATACTGGATTTCTGATTATCTGTGTTCTGAATGTAAAAAGACTCCAACAGCTCCACCGCACTGTCAATGTCCTCACTGCAGAGGGAGAAAAGAGAGTTCATACTTGGTTTTAGTGATTTGAACAAACCCCTTTATAGAGTCAGAAACACTCCATTATAACTTATGCCTTTGAAAAAAAATCTGAGGAAATTCTATGTTATGAATTTTCTCCATGTGTTCGCTGCAGTACCTTCAAAACGAGGCCTGGATGAAAACCCATGCCTTAACCTCAAGTATTGAACTCATACCACACATCTGTGCTACACACATGAATGATTAATAATTCCAATGGCTGGTGTGACAATTTTCCAAGTGACCAGTCTAATGATTTTCACCTGGTTTACAAAAAAAAAAGTAAAAAATCAGAATATTACTGAAGGAGGGACCAAAGCCATATTTAGGGACCAAAATATAGATTCAGAGGCGGCCCTTTTTTGCATCCGAAAAAGATAACTTTAGTTCAAAGAGTATAACTAAAGAAAGGCAGGTGGAAAAAAAGCAAGCCCTGACCTTCATTTACAGAACAGTAAGTGCATAAAACTTTCATCAGCCACATTAATATTCCTAGCCCAGCCAAAGATTGTCATTCCCCACCATTCCCAAAGTCTTGAGACAGTGCAGGACAGCGGAAGAGCAAAGCGTTCCTCACGGCCGATAGGGCAGCTTCCTGTTAGCACAGCTTCATCCTGTAGGAGTGAACTCTGACCCCCTGGGCGGACCTAAACAACAGTGACACATGTGCTGTGTGCGGCTGAGCCAAACTGACTGGTTAAGAGGCGAGATGGGGGCTCCGGAACCCGGCCACCACATTAGTGCGGCCCATTGTGAATTATTCAGACTACATAGTCATAGCCATCACAGCAGATTTGAGCCTTTAATAATAATGGGTGGAGAGCGGTGAAGGGGATGGAGGAAAGGTAAGATGAAATTGAGGTGTGAGAAAAGGCCACATTAGCGGACGGTCCTTTGTAGCACAATAAACCTTTGATGACACCAATTTGTAAATCAAGGTCAAACCACAGAAAGGCCACATTTCATTTTATTTACAGAATCAAGGGTGCTTCATAGTTTTTTTTGAAGAATTTGTTTTCACAAAAATAACCAAGAAAAGTATGTGCGGGTTGAATCTAATCTCACCCGCCAGACAGTCTGCTGGTGCTCCCATTGTCAGAAACACTGAGCATGTGGTTCAGAGTTTCTGAGATAACAATACATCTATAATCAAGTCTTTGTCATAGTCAATCACAGTCTTAACCTCTGTGTCATCTGCTTTCGTCCAGCTGCCAGGGATGTGGTGCCAATCTAGCTGTGCATCCACTTTAAAAATATCTGAATGACTGCTCATCTCAAGTATTGTGAGCCGCTCTAGTAGCTGAGCCAATGAGATCTTTTCGACCCCAAACTCTTGAAGAGTGTTTTATTTACTATCAAGCATAAATTGTAGGTCAGATCACTCAAAAAAAGTAAAACAAACATTGCAAGTTATGTGACCACTTGAGATAAGGAGTTCATAAGCAATAATAGCAAAGCTTGTTTAACAAAACAAAAAAAACAAAAAGCTTACTTTTTAATATGAGCGAGAGCAGCATTGTTGACAAATAACATGCTGGACAGCTTGATGGAGCCTAAAGTCTTCACCAAGGCCTCCACTTCCTGGATGTCCTGTGTGTTTCCTTCACTAGCGAGACCCTGGACCAGTCGAGTGATGGCTAACTGACTGGGCACCTGATCAGCCTGTAACATGCCCTTAAGAGTCCCCAAGGCATCTGTGATTAGGGAGAGATCATGCGGTCAGGTTTAATAAAAAAAAGTCCTGGAAGAAACTGGGGCGTTCCACAGTAATCATCACTAATGGCTGAACTGGGAGAACAGATCAACTTTTGTACTTACCTTTCATCTGGCATCTCTTCACCTGAGAGACGATGAGGAGGCTGTTGGCATTGTCACTTAAACTGAATTCAGGAACATGATCAGTGGCACTGAGAAGACAAAAGGAAGATGGGTATTGGTTGAACACAACTGTAGTTTGTGAAATAGCAAAGTGTGTTGTAGGATCAGCTGTTTTTATTAATAATACATAATGTTGTATATGTGTGTTGATGCTGAGAGCCATTTCTTCACCGGTCATCTTAAAATTGTGTGCATGCATGTGTGTGAGACTGAACAAATCCAACAAATCTGGATCCTCTCTCCCCTCATTCGCCACTTAAACCTCAATCAAAGTCTTTTTTTTTTTATTACCCTCACTGGCCAGATTAATCCGGCCGCCCAATTGAGCATCAGTCGCTGCTCCTTATCTCAACGGCGACTGGCCAACAGCCGCTCACATGGCAGATTGGCCTAGCGACCACAGTCAGAGTTACTCTTATCAATCCTAAGAAAATCCTTGTGTCCTTCTACTTACTCTCGTCTAGTCCTCTAAGCACTGGACATTCCCATCCCTCGCTTCTCTCTTCCATTCCCAATCCCCTTAATCTGTCCTTAAAGCACCCCGCTGGCCAAGACCAACATCCGGCCAAACATCTGCATGAAGTCCACCACACACACACATATATACACCTTATATGCAATAAATACACTGCATGTGCTTTTCAATATACTGGCCATTATAATTAACAGTAAAGGATAGTACTGTTGTTTTCCGTACTGACATTCAGTGCCACAGCACTAAGGAAACGTGTGAATATGCAAATATGAAAAGACTATATATTAGGGCTGCACGATAAATCGCATGCGATATTAAACGTGCCTCTTGTCAGAAAGCCGGTTCTGTAATCAGCGGTAAATCTCCATCACCTGCGGGCTTTCACATTGAGCAGCATTAACTACACAGGAGAGAGAGAGATTAACTTTTTTTCCAGAAGTTGAGTATTCTATGTACTTTCAGACTTTTTATTGTTCGCTTAGCATCATGCTAAAGCCATTCTCTTTTGAAATCAATTGAAAGTTGAATATCCTATACTAAGTGCTGATGACTGGATGTTTATATGATAATTTTCAGTTGAAGATTCACCTCTGAACTCTGGACAATAGGAAACAATGGAGTTTACATTTACAGATTTTATGTACCACTCAAAAGCTTCTAAAGTCTTGAGGTTTAAAGTACGTCTGCAACAACATTCACTGAAAATCCATGAATAAGGTCAGTTAACACCCACCGCAATGCTATTGCGTGATAGCCTGGTACATAGACATTTCTGAATGCTTCCTGAAAGCATGCATAAGATTACAGTGGAGATGGCTTTCTTTGATGAGGATATATAATCAGACATCAGACCTTTATGGATATATCAAAGATCAGCGCAAGCACTAATACATCACAAAGATCGATTACTAATCGGCAAAGGACTGTCATTTTTGCATCTTGTCAAGCTCTTCTGAGAACTCAGAGATTATCTAGCAACTCTGAAAGGGTTTAAACCATAAGACATGTATGTGAGTGTGTGTGTGTTCAGCTACAAGGCGCTTATCAGTATTCATCTGTTTCAATTCAAGAAGATTTTCTGATACTGCAAAATCGGGTACAATGGCTAAGGTCCATGAGCTTAAAACCTGTAATTTAGTAACCTGCAATTTGAAGATCTTCATGCAAATGTAGAGATATTAGATAGTGCGACCCCCACAGACAGACTCACATGTTCTTGACAGCCATGGCATCCTCAATGTTGCCTTTGGCTAGGAGGGCTTTGATGAGGGTATCATATGGAGCAGGGCCAAGGACCATGCCCATGCTACCTGCTTCCTTCAGCATGTCATAGGCCTCTGAGAATCAGAAACAACAGGCTTAAAGACTACACATAATCTACTCAGACCACTACAGATAATATTGCATATGACCATCCTTAACCATCCTGAAAATTAATCTTGTGACAGTCACACTAACTTTTACTATAAAGCTACCGTGAAGTAATTTTAAAGCAATTCAACTATATAAATAAACCTGACTTGACTTAATCTAAGCTGACAGCACTGTTTCCACAGTCATCCCTGCAAGATTATATTTGTATCATTATTATATCTGAACATTTTTTTGTTACATAAATATATTATCTTATATAAATATACTGTATATAATATTTTATTTAGATTGTTTTACATTATTTTAACTTTTATTTCATTTGATATTTAATTTATTTTATTTAAAGATACACTATGTAACTTTTTGCTGTCTAGTGGCTGAAAAATAAAACTACAAGTTACTTGGGGGAAAGTTGAATGGCGGAAGTACGCCGTTTCCTGGGAAATACATCCTGAGAAACTCTATGGCTTACCATAGTGATTTAAAGGGAAGATGGTTTCATGATGTACTCGCTCATGATTTGACTTCAAACAAAAAAGTTGCATAGAGAACTAACCGTGAGCTTTGCCCTTCTTGCAAAGAGACAGGACTTTAAGTCTGTAGTCATCAACCGTGGCCTCTTTAGGGGGTGAAGCAGCAACCCTCTTACGAGGGGAAGCCTGAACCAGTGGGCTAGATTTGATCTCTTGCTCCAAGAACATCTCAGGCTGACCTTTGACCTTCTCAAACCACACCTACCCATAAAACGGCCACATCAATACACTGTAATGCTTCCTTAAATTCTGGATAATTCAAGTTTAATTGATTCATGGTCTACAGAGATTAGGACAATAAGGACTAAATGTATCTGACCAAAGAAAAAGGTTCAAATACTGAAGGGCGGTGGTTTTCAACTGCCTTTGTTTTAGGAACAAATTTTATATTGGATATTAAGTGGGTTCTTTTACCTCAGGAACCTCGAAAGGCACCTCCTTGTCATTGTTTTTCAGGATATCAGCAAGCAAACGCAGGGTCCTCTCTCTTGGAGCCAAATTCTCCTCTTGCATTTTCATCCAGGTTGCCTCAGCCTTTTGCCAGTCATTGGTCTCCTCTGACAAGGAAAAAAAAAAACAACGTCAGTGCAAAGTCGTTACTAGGGCTGGGTATCGAGTTCGATACTTTTTAGGCACCGACCGAAATGCCTCGATACCATCGAGTATCGTAAAACGTCTCTTCGTTCGGTACCCAATTTCATTACCTAAGGGGTTAATCTCATCAGCGTCAGTGTGCCAATAAGCCTGCAGCACTAGCCGGTGTGTTCGACTAGAGTCTTGAAACAAATTATCTGAACAATGTCTTGACGTGTGGTTGTGACTCCAGGCCGTTAAAATTATTAGAGAAATAATTCACTCCCGGAGGTGGTTATGTGGCCACGACTATATGGTATTGTCTTTCTCAGTTCTCAAACAAATTAAGAACTATTCGATTTTTATTGACTGAACGCAAGCGCTTATTCCGATAGAAAACACTGTATCGGTTTCCACTGATTAAGAAATATTTTTGTTTGCTTGGGTGGTAATATTAGGTTTATTATATTAATAGGGAAGGGGGCCCAAAAATGAGCAGCGATCATGGAAGAGAGAACACAAGCAGACAGCGCTGGAAGCTGCTAATGCTCATCAGTAAATCAGTGGAAAATAAATAGAAATCATGATTCTGTCTGAGCTATGCGTTTTAAAACGAACACGCACTAGTGTAAATGTAGCCTAACAGATGTGTAAACTGAAGACTATTTGAGCTTTATTAAAACTATTTGCACTGATTTATTGTGTTGGTTACATTTTGTTCCTTTTGTGCAGTGGCTCAGGAGCATTTGAGTTTGTATAAACATCAACAAGCTGAAAATTTTTTTTTGTTAAAATTGATTTCATAAAATTGGGAAAAAGTATCGTTCAGGAACCGGTATCGAAGTCAAGGTATCGGTATCGAAAATTTTTGAACGATACCCAGTCCTATTTGCAAAGACGTAAACTCAGAATTCTGAGAAACAAGTCAGAACTATGACATAAACAGAATTGCGTATTGTGAGATGTAAACCTGGAATCGCAAGAGAAAAAAGTCAGAATTTTATATCTCACAATTATGACTACTTTTTTTCCTCAGAAAAGTCCAGATTGTGAGACAAAAAGCTGCAATTACCTTTTTATTAATTTTTTGTTTTTTTTATTCTGTGACAGAAACAAGCTTCCATAGAAATATATATGTAGACAGTTAAATATTATATTAAATAAATATTTTTTTTATTATTAATTCAAATAATAGGCAGCACATTGTCTTCCATTTTGGTGTATCTAGAATTTTTCTGTGTACAAGTAAAAGCTAGTCATTAATGCAATCTCTTCTATCTGCCCACGGTTAAAAATTTATTAATTCATTTCTTAATTTTTACTAGTTAACTGACATGCATAGTAATTATTATGTTTAATAGCTGTACTTGTGAAGCTTTCATTGTATGACTTGGCTTGAAGCCCAGGCTGGTTTCAGCAAAAGATTTTCAGAATGGATAAAAAGAGGCTATGTTCTTATCTGTGCCAAACAAAAAGGAACTATCGAAAATTTTTGAACGATACCCAGTCCTAGTCGTTACACTCATCCACTTTTTGCAATCTCAGCTCCAACACACAAGACTTACTGCAGAGGCGTAACAAATAGTGGTACATGTCATCTCTGTCACACTCGAACAGCTTGACAGTCATGTCCACCATGTTCTCAAGGGGCTCCATCTGGGGAAAGAGAGATTCAAACAGTGATACACACTCTATAGATCTATAGCAAATCAGTTTTTCAGACACAACGGCAGAGAAACACTGACCTGTTGGGCTGCAATACATTTCTCTGCAAACCACTGCAAACGGGTAGGTCGTGCCCTTAGACCAGGAGTCTGCACATGGGTAAAGAAAATGTATGAGATCTTAAATTAAACAGGTGCAAATCACAAACACTGCACTACTACTAAACAGTGGGCATGAACAATCATGAAAAAGGGGAATATCAATCAGTCGCATCAACGGACACGGGCCCCGTCTCTGTCAGGTTCAGTTCCCCTATATGTAAACTTCCACTGGGAAAACCGCGGACTTGGGCTACTTTAACACTGTTGCCGCGGGTTGTTTTTCATGTCCGCGGGTTGAAGCGACTCCAATAACATGATATTTATCCCCTGGAATGAGAATTTTAGCAGGGGAACCCCGCCAAAAAACATGTATTTTCCCCCCGGGAACGCGATTTTTAACTGCGGACCCCCTTGAAACGCTAACATTTCATCAAAACGCTGGGCTAGTTTTGAATAGCGATTGGGCGGGTTTTCTTGTGAAAACCTGGCAACCCTGATATCAATACAAAAGTTACAGTATACAATTCACTAACTGGTCAAGTTATGCCCAGGTCAAATCTCAAAACCAAACCAAACAAAACCAAACCAAACAAAACCAAAACACAAAACAAAGAATAGAAAGAAAAAAATGAAACAAAAAACTAAATCAAATAAAACAAAACAAAACAATATTGGGGGTGGTACAGACAGAATATAGATTTAGTTGTAAAACATGATTATTTTTAATTTAAGCAAGCACTGAATCATGATGCTTTGTTCCACCTACAGTAAATGAGAATCTTCACACACAGAAACGCGCACACACACAGAAACGCGAACACACACACACACACACACACACACAGATGTCTAAATTCACATCGTCTCTTCTCTTGGAGGATATTGCACCAGCAGCATCCAAACAGAATTACTCTGCAGCAAATCAGCCTCCAGGCCAAGTTCAAAATCACTCCAGCTTTCCTCAAGCCTAATCTGCTTAGCAAATAAGACCAAAATTGAACCGCTACACATAGTCTTTTTTTTTGTTTTGCTATAAATGTAGGAGCAGCCCCTGGGCCTTATGCATAAAGCCCTGAGGCAAATCTTTCCTTAAGTAAATCCAGGGTGATAAGCACCCCGACTCCTCCAATCTTCCTATATACGAAAGCAAATCAACACACACTCACATTCATTTGACCCAAACACACACGCTCACTACACAGCCAATACCCAAAAATCTGGAGTCTGCAAAGACGGAGAAGGGTTTTTTTGTGTGTTTTTTTTACACAACACTGACACATGGACACTAAACAATAAATTGGTAAATGCTTTCTCTATCAAAATGTTAAACCTTATATAGTCAATAAAAATACTAGAAAATATAAACTAATGACCTGCTGAAGCAATTCATCTGGCTAGTGATCATTTTCTACATCCTGTAATCAGAAGTTTCTATGAAGAGAACAGAAAATTAGTCTCGAAAAATCTTTCAAAAATAAAGTGAAAATTAAAAAGTCTATTTTTTTCTGTGTGGTTTGCAACACTATTATTAAAATTTAGGATATACGTCTATATAAACTTTAGAAAAAAAAAAGTTCAAAATCACTCCAGCTTTCCTCAAGCCTAATCTGCTTAGCAAATAAGACCAAAATTGAACCGCTACACATAGTCTTTTTTTTTGTTTTGCTATAAATGTAGGAGCAGCCCCTGGGCCTTATGCATAAAGCCCTGAGGCAAATCTTTCCTTAAGTAAATCCAGGGTGATAAGCACCCCGACTCCTCCAATCTTCCTATATACGAAAGCAAATCAACACACACTCACATTCATTTGACCCAAACACACACGCTCACTACACAGCCAATACCCAAAAATCTGGAGTCTGCAAAGACGGAGAAGGGTTTTTTTGTGTGTTTTTTTTACACAACACTGACACATGGACACTAAACAATAAATTGGTAAATGCTTTCTCTATCAAAATGTTAAACCTTATATAGTCAATAAAAATACTAGAAAATATAAACTAATGACCTGCTGAAGCAATTCATCTGGCTAGTGATCATTTTCTACATCCTGTAATCAGAAGTTTCTATGAAGAGAACAGAAAATTAGTCTCGAAAAATCTTTCAAAAATAAAGTGAAAATTAAAAAGTCTATTTTTTTCTGTGTGGTTTGCAACACTATTATTAAAATTTAGGATATACGTCTATATAAACTTTAGAAAAAAAACTGTCAGATACACCTCTGGCAAATACTTGAGACACTTAAACCTATTTTTCATGCTAGCTTAACTTTTTCATGTTGGATAACGGTTTAAAAAACAAACAAAAAAACAAACAAACATCTAATCGTTCTCACCAGAAAAAAAAACATGCTTCATAAAAATAAAAAAAGGGAAACCAAAGTGTACCATATCCATGGCCTTCACAAAGTTACAGTAAACAAAAACTCCCCATCCATTCAGACCTTTGAGCAAAAACAGCCATCATCACACTGAAGATGCCATCATTCTCTCAAACACAGGTCACACACTCAGAAACCCTCACACACAGTGTAACAACCATTTTAATTACACCAAAACCTTAACCAGCATTTCACTTAATTACCACCATTATTAATAATCTGACAATTATAGACAGCACAATCACCTGACCAGCACTCCATCACTGCACTTAAAGTTTCTATTAGAGAGTGGAGTAGAGCTCTGTGTCTGCTAATGCTACTTAGATATCAGTGTTTTTAATTATCCAGCTCTGGATGGAAGAGAGGATGTGTGGAAACGCTCCAGGGAACGAGTGGGGCTTTTGACCTGTCAAGCACAAGGATGCTCGATGAGCTACCATTAAAAGCCAACTTTTAGAGAGTTTATAGTGGGGGGGGGGTTCAGAGGTATAAAACTATTGCAACTACCAGGTGTAGAAAGATACGACAGAGCTTTGTTTTCAATGACTAATAGCATTTATCTAGAGCAGGCCTATTCAACTCTAATATACACCTCCCAATCAAGCCAATCAAGAATTAATTTAAAAATAAATAAACAGAAAAGAACAGATTTTAAAATGGACACAACTGAGCTATTAGTGTGCACAACCACAGATCAACTCAAATTCGATACATTTCCAGCAGTGCCTAATCATTTTCCAGTAATACTGCAAGACGTGGCACAATAGCAGCCAATCAGAGAAAATACTTTGTTTAATATAGTTAAACTGGCGTTTAATACTGGCATTCAGTAATAGAAACTAAGTTGACAACATGAATAAATATTAGTATTGCCCATAATGAAAGTGACCTGTCTTTGAATAGGTGTATTGGCTCAAAACAATAGACAATGGTTACCTATGAGGTACTCATGAATCTAACAGACATCTAAACTATACTGTGTATTAGTCATGCGACATGAATGATTTTAAACTCCTATGACACTGGAGGATGTCCTAAGATGGTATGAGGGCAGTAGAGGATTAGTAAGTTTTAGAAAAATCAAGCAAATGCTTTAAGAGGGATTTTAACTTGCATCCCAAATTAACCTCTCTAAACAATGAAAGTCAAAGCTGCTTGAGATTGCGGTATCCTGAGGTGACCATTGATAGCTTATCGGCTAAAGTACTGTCCCAGAGGAATTGCTATGATCTGGTGTATATATGAAAAATGGAGCCAAATGGCATGCTCTAGATCTGCGGACACTGGATATTTTCTTGGTTAAAAGCCCCTGACTTGTAATATCCAAGCTTAGGATTATTTTCATCCATACTGATAACGATACAACAGAATTGGCAGAGATGAGGCTTTGTGGAGGAAAAACGCAAAGACAATAAAAAAAAAAAAAGAGAAAGCTGCAGAAGAGCTTGGAAACATAAAACTGCACAGAAAGGTAAAACAACCTCAGACAAAGCCTATGCATGATAGAAGTGGCTTGACTGGCGCTGACATTTCGCCGTACTCCCACATGGCAGCACTGAGGGAGTTGAGTGGTGTCGTATTAGAGCAGCTGGCTAATTGAACATCTAAATGGCTTTGTCAGAGCTGTTTCTCAGTGGAAGTGTAGACTCGTGAGATGCTGCCTTCTGAAAGAACAAGACAGAACACAGCCTAAAGGTATCCCCAAAAGACCCATTCTGGACGAAGCGCTCAAAACACGTCAAGCATCTCAAAATCAGTTACTTCCCGGACAGAGCGCTCACTGAAGGGCCTGATGTGAGAACAGAGACATACTCAGTCTCTCCAGACAGTTAAAGACGTCTACACATGCATCGAAAATCCATCTGAAATGTCTGAAAACTTCACAGTACCGAGACGGGATGAGAAGTTCTGCTGCCAGTTCTACTTTGAGCAGATGCTCTTCTCATTCAATAAAGAAAGACCGCTGGCCTGAGGACAGTGTGAGAGCGCTAGAACTTTTTGCCTTTCAAGATTTCAAATCTGTAATAAAATTATCTAGCTGTCTGGCACAGATTCAGTTTTGATTGCAAGAACTACTTGTGATAGTCTTCTTGGTAATATCAAAAAGAACTGGTTGAAATTTACAATCCAATTAGTATAATGCTTTGCCACATATTCCATTATTTTCCATTTTTAATTTTCCATTATTGCAAAATTTGTCTAAATAAAATATAATATTTCTTGAAACGTATGCATATGTATACAGTTACGGGGAAAAACACTGTAGGCATTTTAGATTTTTACATTTTTCCCCTCCCATTAAAATCTGGAGATTAACCTGGAAACTTCAAAACAAATACTATAACCAAAATAAAAATTATGATGCAAAAGCAAAACATATTCAAAAATATTTATATAAACAAATCCTAAAAACAGTTGACAATATTTTAGGCAATATTATTTTTTAGATTTAATATTTGGTAGTCCAGCTTGGTAAAATATTGTATAAATACCTGTAACTATAATTCATATAGCCACGATGATATTCCTATCTCTATATTAATATATTTCCTAAAAATATATGTATATGTGTGAAAAATATACAAATTACACATTTACAAATAAATAAAACTTAAAAACTACACATTTACTAATTACACTAAATAAATCAATTCTATTCATTAAAAAAATATATATATAAAATGAATATGGAAGAGGCATTCAGTTCTGCTCATCTTACTTTCGTGTTAACTTTGGTCATCATTTTCTGTTTCAAATGAAAATGGTTTTATCAAGCCAAAGCCTTGTAATGACAATTAATAATAATAGCAATTGGAATGAGTGCATCGATTCAATATAGTGACAAATAGACTTGTGCCGGTATTCGGTAATGCGATATATCACGGTAATGAATATGCACGATATTGTTATCGTGGGCACTTCCAAACAATATCACAATACTTCAATTTTCCCAGTAAACTTGGTTTCAAAAACGAGTGGTCTTTGAAGTCGTCATTTTCTCCTTCACACTCACACACACTCTCTCATCCTTTGAAAAATCCTTGTACCTATTGTCTTGCATGAATGGCATTAGTGTGGCTTTGGAGCCAATTTAATTTAAAAGTGGAAATATCAGTGTGGCCGTAATTAAAGCTGTTAAATAGCTGTGTGGTTTGAACACAATAACAGCAGTCCCACCTCGATGATTTTGCGTGCCTCCTTGTAGCGGCCCGTTTGCAGGAACGCAAAGTAAAGGTCGTAGAGCATCATCATCTCGCCTCGCTCCTGACTCAAAAACTCCACGACTGTTAAATGAAAGAGAGATAAGAGAGTGAAGAAACAGTCACATTTGTGTACTCTGTGTACATGGTCTCTTTCTTTAAAGCTATTTAATCAATCTCATGCAGAGTAAATGTCATCAAAAATGTGGCACATGCAGCATGTCTCTCAGAGTTGCTGGGTCATCGGGCCGTAAAGTGGCCCTCCACCGTAGAGGTCTCACTGCCTTGACACTTCAAATCCACTCATCCCCAACACACAGTGCACTTAACCCCTTCACTAACCCTGACAAAGACAGAGACTATTGAAACCACCATCATCTATACATCCCTGACTCCCATCTCTTTTGTTACCGAGATTGGCACCCATGTTATCACCCTTTCTACTTTTAAAAGAGAATGACTGCTTTTTTATTTCTTTTCCCCTTTACTTTGAAGTGTGTGTGTGTTGGTAGTTAGGCAGGGTTAATGCTCAATGGTTTGACTCGGAATCGAACACATCCATCAAACACAAAACTACAAATGTGGCAATGATTTTTAAATGCAAACGGTCCCGATTTAAACTTTCCAGAAACCGTCCTTCCTCACTATATATGCAAGTGACGCAGTTTAAAACAAACATCTGACAGCCTGCGACATCCCCTCCCTCTTTTTAGAGCTCTTGTCCCTCAAAAAATCCCTTCCACAAAAAAGTTCAGGCAATTCCCTTTGTTAGGCTCATTAGAGCCTGAGGATACGGATCGGGAGCGGCGGCTGCTGTTGTCGTGGAGACAGGCTGACGGCTGTCAGAGTTAATCCCATAGAGAAGTGTTCATTAAGTCATTACAGTTGACATGCTGACGAGACACTGACACACACCGCTTTGTCCTCTTTAGCGCAGCCCAGACCAAAGAGGAGACAGAGACGAGTGCAGAGAGATGGATGAGGGCAGAATGGAGAAGATAAGAGTCGTCTACAGCAGGGGTGCCAAACTCATTTAAGGTAGAAGGCCGCATTGGACAAATCATCACCATATGTGGGTTGATTTTTTGGTGTATCGATGGTGTGTGTACGCATAACAAATGTGCATCACAACTCCTGTTTCAACTTTTTGCTGCTTTGGGTAAAACCAACAGAGTTTAATAGTAATATCATTTACCAATATCTTTTGACTACATCCAAGTACAAAATTACTAGGGGTGCGCTGATCCGATATTCAGTATCGGTATCGCTCCGATACTGGCATTTTCTGCTGGATCGGGGTATCGGTCAGACGAGACCGATCCAAATCCGATATTATAGTGCGTATACTATTCTATTATTATTAAGCCCCACGAAAGCCACAGAAACATTATAAAGCACCATAAAGTTTTCATGCACTATATTTCAAGTGTTCTGAAGCTTTTCCATAGTTTAATGTGAGGTACAGATGAATATTTAAGTCAAGTTCACGCAAACTCTTCTCTCCGCAGCGGCTGTCTGTCATCCTCCATTCAGCATTCAAACTGTGCGTCACATTCGGTTATGACAGTCAAGACGATAAAACTCTCTCCAAGATGATTAAATGTTCCTAATGTTATACTTGATCTGTAGTGTTGCTTCAAGCGCGTCATTCTGCGCATGGGATGCGCATAAGCGCTTTGAGCCACTCTGTATTTGTAGCCTTTAGTATCATAATACTTTTACGCAATGAAAGATTATTAATAGCCTTTCTTGTTCGTCTTATCTATCATATGTAAATTACTGACAATAATACTGACAAAAAAAAAAAAAAACATTAACTGCCAACTAACTTTAATATGTAGTCTTAAACAACAAACAACAACAGAGTTTATATTACAACACAGAGAATATTTTTTTAAAATTATTAAAAAAAAATCACTTTGATTAAAGTTTTGCTTCCAAGTAGGGCTGGACGATATGGCCAAAATTGATATCACGATATATTTCTTAATTTCGGTCGATACGATATAATTCAACTCCAAAAGTGCTAAATTAGTATTAATGTATTACTGTATATCTAATGTTTATCTGCCAAGAGTTATTCAAAATATAATGAATACAGTCTAGTAATGTTAGTTAAAAGTAAACGAAAAGTTCACACTAAAACTATTTTTTTTCGGTAATGACAATAAAATATAATAACAAAATAAAAAGATCAGAAAACAACAATAAATAAGTAAACTAAAATTAAAACCATAGAAATAAAAAATGTATTAAACCTCAATAGAAATAATATAATAAAATAAAAATTTATTAAACCTCAATAGAAATATTTTAAAATAAATAAAAAATAACTGACAAAAGCACAAAAGTACTTAACTAAAGTGAAAACTGACAATAATAATAAAATTACATTAAATTGGTCAAATTAAAAAATAATTAATAAATAAACTGCATGTTAACTGTATATTTTAGCTAATTTCACTTTCACTAACTTCGCTTTCAGCTACCAATGGACACAGAGTAACATTTTACCATGTTTACATCCATTCTGTAGAATTCAACCACTTTCCACTTCACAAGCATGAATAAATTGACATTTTTTCCCCCTAAAAGTCACAGAAAAAAAAAAGTATCCAAGCAGGCCTGGCTGCTGTGAGCTTTGAGGCTCTCCTCCACTGGAGTGTGTGGCTGCCAGTCACAGTGCGTGCGTGCATGTGTGTGTGTGTGTATATGTGGCGTGATGTAAACGTTCACGGTTTATCAGAGTCTCTGCTGAGAGTCGCTCTGATCTCTCCGTATCTGCTCCTTAATGAACCTGAGCTAAATTGGAAACCTTATCGCACACAAGGCAGCAATTAAGGCTTGCACGTGCCAGTGTGGTTGAGGCACTCGAGTGACAGAAAAACAAACAGTCTCAGAGGGGCGCCCAGGAAGCCCGTATGTGTGTGTGTGTTGACTCTAGCGCTATCAGTGAAGGTGTAGTGCCAACCTCAATATCCCACAGCGGGGAGGGGGAAAGGCACTTACGCAGTGCACCGCATGGCCCAGGCAAATCCAGTAATTAGCACAGGGTGCATAATTAACATGCAAATTAGTTGATCTGCTTAAAAGCCGCTCTTACAAATAGACCTGCACGGATGGGGGGGTGGGAAAGAGAGGCCGAACTTGTGGAAGTTAATTCCTTTTCCCACCATGCTGCATTTTGCTATAAGGTAATGTCAGATTATATGAAATGAACAGTGAGACAACAAGCTTAGGGAGGAGTGGAACTCTGCCCTTTACAATCTGACATCGTTATTAATGTTTGTTTTCAGATTATATTCATGTTGTTTCCAAACTCACTACTTGATGGGGTCACCCCATAATTTTTTTTTTTGGCTGAGGTCCTCTTATAATGCTAGTCAAGGTTTCTTGCACCAAAACAGTCGTAATTAATTTATACTGTACACAATCACTTTCCACCCTCTGTCTGGCACTTTTTCATTATGGCTTCTGTGTAAATGAACTCTTTGCATGTGAAATGAATTACAGCACATATTTACAGGTTAAAAATAATAGTGTAGCACCAACGGCAAAACTGTTAAAAATAAATGTCAGGCATTCTCTTCTCTAAAGCTGGGATCCTTCAGAAGGGTGTGCAGAGTTGTAGGTGCTACACACAGACAGGAACAGCGAAAAGTTGAGCAAGTTTCCAAAGTTTTACCAACTCACCTCTCCAGATAGCAAGTGATGAGGGGTGAGCAGAGGTTACTGGATGGTTTGGCCAGGCCCAAAGTGAAGATCGTCTCCTGGAGGCGTCGAATACTGTTGGCATCTCCTTTCATCGCAGCAGTATTCATCGTGAGGGTGAGCAAACTGATTGTGCCGTCCCTTAACTGCACATCCTTCTCCTTCATCTCCTTCAGCATATCGATCGCCTCTGCATGACATCAGAATGAGAGAAAGAGAGATATAGTTTAGCCAAAATATCAATGATGGCCTAGAGTTGGTAAGACATTTTGACTAGTTATCCAACAACCAACTGTTGGATAACAGTCAACTCAATTATGTAGATTCAACAACTTTTTGGAGTGGGTTGACAATCCTAATCGATTTTAAAAGAATGAAATTTTACAATTTCATGCTTGAACCCTCTACATGCAACTAGTTACATGGTATGCAACAAATGTATGGTTACTTGGTAGCCAGGGCGCAGTTTCATAAATCGCAAGTGCATACAAAGGTTTAACCGAATCGTTGACTGATCCACAGACTTGAGATTATTTGTATATCTGTACGCTTAGCTGTTCCCCGATGGGCCGGCGCCAGATGAGAGAGTGCGAGAGAAAGAGCGAGAGAGGGGAAGAGGTGATAAAAACCCCCTTAGATAATTTCATGTGGGGAAAACAAACCGCTATTAAAACAACATTTTACACCCAGCGGGGATGCAAATGCTGCCGTATAATGCCAATTCGCCGCTAATTACTACTTGCATTTCTAAACGAGACTACAATTACGGAGGCCCCCACAATAGTAGGCTTTTTTTTCACGGTTCCCTGCGAAAGCATGCCAGGAAATTATAGGTGTGCAGCGAGTGCCCGGCATGAACTCGGCGGGCTCTGGTCGTGGATACGCCGCAGCTTTGCTATCGTAATAGAGGCTTTTTACTGGGCGATGCTCCCATCTGGCAGAGGGGAGAGGGTCCACCTCCACAGCTGCTCTGTCACCAAGCCAGATAATTAAGATGTGTTTACGCGCTGTTTAGAGGCTAGCTAATGGGCTGATACCGATAGGGCCTGTTTGCACTGGCGATACTAATCATCTAGAACCGAGAGAGAGCGACACAGAGAGAGAGAATGAGGATACCATCATCACAGCTGTGTGCATGTGGGAGTCAGCGCTGGCCACAGGCAGTCAGGCAAACGCCCAAATTCCCATGACTCACAGCAGTACTGCTGTTCATCTCCATTTCTTCATAGCGCTTAGGTAAAGTAGATAAAGTGCTAGTTTTCGTGCCATTAGCAAATTGCAAAAATTACCATTTCTTGAACACTTATTGTCTTCCATTGGTTGATAAACAGTCCCACCCAAAACTTTATTGCTTGAATAATTACTGCTGTTTCAGGATACTTAAAAATCTATGTTTTGATAACACAAAAATATTTACACTTTCCCTGGAAAGTATGAATTATATCAGTTTAATTTGAACATTTATTTTTTGTTTCTATAAACCGTCAAGATTGTTTAGAACTTTCACAATTATACAAGAACATATGGGTACACAAATGCCACTAAAATATCACTGAAGGGAAAAAATAAGCCAAAATTAATCAAATAAATATTAAAATGAATATGCAGAACATTTTTTATTTTGAATATTTTTAAAAATGTAATACTTTAATATGCAGAACATATTTTAAATGAAAAATACTGATTCAAAACATACACAAATCACTTTTGAGGGTGAAATATGTAATTACTATAGCATCACCAAAAAGAATTGCAATTATATTGACTAATTCATACAAATATTTTAAGCACTGCCCATTTGTCATTGTAAGATGTTTTTAAAATAAATTAATACTTTTAAGAAAGGATGCATTAAATTGCTCAAAAGTGACAGTAAAGAAAATATAAAAAAGATTACAAAAGATTTCAATTTCAAATAAATGCTGTTTTCTCCTAGTTCTATTAATCAAGACTTCCTATTAATCATTACACAACATTAAACAGCACAACTGTTTTCAACAATGATAATAATAAGAAATGTTTCTTAAGCAACAAATCAGCATATTAGAATGATTTCTGAAAGATCATGTGACACTGAAGACTGAAGGAAAAAAATCCCTCACCTTTACCAAACAAGTATCCCTACAGTGTTTGACGATAACAAGGACCTCAAGTATGGAGTGTAACAGTATGCGTATGGAAATATACAATGTAGGCCGACCTACAGCAACACAGTTCACTTCAGTCTCCACACACACACACATACACTCAAGCAGAGACAGCCAGCTTGTTTTAGCCCACAAATTCCAATCTGTCACTTCATCACCCTGCAATTTTTGTCCTGTTGTTAGCATCCAAAATAAAAGTATGTGTTTACATAATATATTGTGTATATGTATATAAAAACACACGCACATATATGTATATATTTAAGAATGACATATAATATATATTTTTATACAACAGTTCTTTCTGGTTCTCGAATCTGATTGGCTGAGAGGAGTGTGATATTTAAAGCTCTGTTCACTTATCTACTCAGTCATGCTGTTATTTGGGCACAGATCTCATCCTTTACTGCTTTTTTAATTTTTGTGGATTGTTTTATCAAGATCCCAGCAGTCAGCCCATTTAAATAGAGGCTTGTCATTTAAGAAGCGCTCTTGTCTAAAAAGTGCCACATGTTATGTGTTAACAGCTGGATATGAATTGAAGCAATGGAGGTTAAGTGGATCGCCGGAGGGCGTCGTGACAGCGATACCCACGAGGGGATTAGAACTAACAACCTCTTGATTCTTAGGCTGTCGCTTTAGGCACTCAACCATGTACTTTTCTTATGGCCCAGAGCTTTACAAGCATTGTTGTACAGAGCACATTGATGTAGTACAACACTTCAGCCATATAAAAGGAGGTTATGTGCTAAAGCTGGATGAAATTCATGCAGAAAGGGCCGCATTTGCTTTAATGTACCTAAGTGCAAGTACTTGCCAAAAAAAAAACACGTGCTTGGATCTCCCATTGACTTTCTCTGTAGAGAAATCAACTCTTACATTCACTCTGTGTCACTTACGCTGTTTTAGAAGTCATAAAGATGTGTAGGTTTTAGAATACATCCTAAGAAATAGCATAAAATTATGAGCAAAATAGGTCGGAAATGTCACAGCTCAATGGTGTCAGTGCACATGCACTAGGCCATGACTCTGAGGTGTGTCAACTTTTGCACAATACTAGAACTTCCTGATGAGCGTGTCCTCAGGTTACGGATGAAAGAGCAAGACAGACTTCAGAGTCCCAAATGAAGCCCCTCAGACCACTCTCTGGTCATACGGAGCACGGTTCACACATCGCTGGACCACAAACAGCAACCAAGTGATATCGGAACTTCAACCATTTCACAGCGAATGTCATGGTGGATGCCCAAATCCACTATAATTTATTATATAATACTGTTTTTGTGTCATGGAATGTAGTTTTAAGAGTTTTTTTAGGTGAGAATGTACTTGTTTAGACTTCAAATATGGGGTTTGTTAATAAAGATAACGTCTATATGAACATTTGCATCAACGTTTTTGGAGATGTGAGCCGTTCAGCGCTCATGAACCCGCTGATAGCAGCCTCACCTCGGCCAGATCTTCTGGAATTTGCCGCTGGCTCTGATGTCTCTGTAGTGGTTAAACATGAGATATAATTTGTTTTGGGTAAATCTCACGGTCTATGGTCTCATTAATATACTTGTTCCGGAACAAAAAGTTTTGGCTGAGGGCAAAATCTCATCACATTATATTTTGTGTAACTTCAGTGCTATATATCATAGCTCTGCCTTTGTACTTTTGACTGAATTGCCTAGCAACATTTATGATGGCTGTTGTTGTTGTTTATTAAATATTATTATTCAACAAATAATATTTCATATAAATAATAGTAGTATTTAATATTGAGAAACGGTGTGTGTTCGTGATGGTGATTAGTTACATTATTCCACCATTAGATGTCGGCAAGAGACTGCAGTCTGCAGTAGGGCTGGGTAAAAAATATCGATATCTCGATATTAATCGATTCTCATTTTTACGGAACGATATCGATTCTTAAATGCCAAGAATCGATTAGTCTAGCCTGTTTTCAGTTAATGGACGGAACA